CCCCAAAACCCCAAAACCCCAAAACCCCAAACTCTACTGTTTATACCTTATTCACTAAAAAGGCTTTACAAAATCAGGCTCTCTTTTATAGCATCTATTACCGCCTTTAAAGAGTTCTGAGGCTGATCTCATCTCTTAGAGGCCTTAAATGTAGCATTCTAGCTGAAGATCAAGTCATCATGGCTACCAGGTCAAAGCTGTTCTAAGTGTAATAGAGAGATGAAGAGAGTAAATTTAAGAGACTTTAAAAATTTGGATGGTTAAAGAGAAGGGTAGAGATTTAAAGGGTCAAATGAAGATGGAAAGTTTGACTCAGACTAGACATCTTAGTTGGTTATGTAATTATATCTTAATCTAAATATTACAGATACCGGGATCAAATCATAATACCATTAAACCTTCTAATTTTCCCTATAACTCTCATACCTACCTCAAAACTTCAACCACACAAACCCCATTGCCCAATCCCCAAATCCTTTCTTCTCCACCCCTATTCACCCTCATCAGCCCATTGTTCACTCATCCTAGTTCTACCTACCTAATCTCCAAAGCCTAGCCAAAGAAAAGCCACAGTCAAGATCATGCAGGCTGCAGCCAGAGATTGGGAAGCCACCAGGCTAAAACTTTTAGGTGAGCTAGGACAAGGGATTAGGGAGGACTCTTGAGACCATTTTATTCATAACCAATGCATTGACTTAAGTGGGGATAGATTGTTGTAGGAATCTGTTGGAGCATTGAAAATATGGATCAGTTTCATACCGATCCAGCACAAACAAATCGTTAATATCCCCATAAATTTTGGAACATATGAATCTGTGCTAGAATTAAAAATATTTGAAGAGAAGATTTCTAAGTCATGAACGAAGTAAAGAACTAGGTTTATTCGAAACTATTTTATTTCCAAAAAGTAACTTTTATGTTTTCAAAACCATTTTCAGAAAGTATATTGTTGGCTTCTTCACATTCTTTTTTATAAGCAGAAAATCGTAGGGTATCAAGACTCATCTTAAATCCAGGATATGTGGCTAATCCTTGAATAAAGTTTCTAAATTGCTCAGAATTCCTGTTTCAATCCAAGTACTTTATACTTCATGATCCTTCCAAATCTAGCTTCTTGATCTTTGAACTTGGCAAAGATTCAGGAAAGGTAAAAGGAGTAGGCACTGAAAGTATACAGGTGTTAAGTCTGATTACATTTACATGGCTGAAAGAAGCAATTAATCTCTTTAGCTGGCGGCGATTAAGTCTGAATCTCTGAATTATAACAGTATCCACAACTTTAGAACTATCTCTGATGATTCCTGAGAAGCATAAAGAGGCTCTAGAAATAGTTTTTCTTCCTCCTCTTTCAATAAGAATATTTACTTTGGCAGGAAATGAGGTTAAGATGAAATTCTTGAGATGCTTATTTCTTTTCCCCATATTTATACACTTTAAACTATTAGCTTTGAAGAGGCTGAAGAAGGCTAGTTTCTTCATAAAATTTAAATCTTGGCCATTTTCAAGTTTAAAACAACTTTTTAGCTTCATATATTTTGTATTGGAATTAGAATCTGCCTGTTTTCCCATTAAATATAATGAAAAACAATTGAAATAGTGGCTTTTTGCTAGTATACCTTCAACTGTCTTGTCTTCCCAGAGGATGCCATTCTCACTACTAAACCAATAAGTTTAATAAGAAAAATCCCAATAAGAAATACCTCCCCAACCATAATCTGACCCAAAATAATAACACCATTAACATCTCTAACCCATGACCACCCAAAACTATCCCCACATCACCACATATCCCCACATCTCACCAAAACCCACCCAATACAAACCCCCCACCCCTCTACACCCCACCCTCACCCAAAATCCCACCCCCACTACTACCCCCTTCCTTCTAAACCCCCTGTTCCTCCACTAAATCCCCCAAAACCCTCTCTACAGCCCTCAAAATCCCCATTCAGGCCCCTGACCTCAGTCTCTTCTGGTCTTCACTATTGTCTGTTTCCATATTTATTCTAAAGGTTAGGTTAAAATATATATTTTGGGGTTTTGGGGTTTTGGGGTTTTGGGG